CCAACAATCCCACTGCTGGGTATTTATTTAAAGGAAAGGAAATCAGTATATCAAGGAGATATCTGCACTCCCATGTTTATTGCAGCACTACTCACAATAGTCAAGATATGGATCAACCTAAGTGCCCATCAATGGATGAATGGATAAAGTAAATGTAATCTATATACTCAATGGAGTATTATTCAGCCATATAAAAAGAATGAAATCTTGTCATTTGCAGCAATGCAAATGGAATTGTAGGACATTATGTTAAGTGAAATAAGCTAGATACAGAAAGACAAATAATACATTTTCTCATTCGCATGTGGGAGCTGACCAGCTGAGGCAGCTCACACCTATAATCCCAGCACTTTGGGGGGCTAAGATGGGAGGATTGCTTGAATTCAGAAGCTCAAGACCAGGCTAGGCAACACAGTGAGACGCTGTCTATACAAAAAACGAAAAATTAGCCAAGTGTGGTGACGCATGCCTGTAGTCCCAGCTACTTGGGAGGCTGAGATTGGAGGATTGCTTGACTCAGGAAGTCAAGGCTACAATGAGCCATGATCCTGCTACTACACTCCAGCCTAGGTGACAGAGCAAGACTCTGTCTCAAAACAAACAAACAAGCAAACAAGCAAAACATATGTGGAAGCTAAGAAAATTGACCTCATGGAGGTAGAGAGTAGAATGGTGGTTACCAGAGGCTGGGAAGGGTAGGAGATGGAGATGAAGACAAGTTAGTTAGTGGATACAAAAATACAGTTAAGGTAGAATGAATAAGTTCCAGTGTTTGATAGCGCAATAGGGTGTCTATAGTTAACAACAATTTATTGCATATTTGCAAATAGCTAAAAGAAAAGATTTGGAACGTTCCCAACACAGAGAAATGATAAATGTTGCAGGTGAAAAATATTTTAATTACCCAGATTTGATCATTATAAATGCACAGCTTTATGTATCCATAAAAATTGAAAAAAATAAAAAAAAAGAACATAGGGGAAAACATGAAGAATTTTTAGATGAAATGACAGACAACTTGAAAGGTATAAGTTTTTCGTCTCTTTTGATTATCTTTTTTGGAAAAATCAGAGTTGCTTGGGATGAGAACACAATTCTGTTCAGTTAGCTTTCCAAATATTGATATGTTTCCCCAAAGCCCAAACTGTGTCCCTTGTCCCTTCATTGACACATTGTCTGTGACTACTTTCATGCTGCAAAGACAGAGTTGAATAGTTGCCACAGAGACCGGCTGGCCTGAAAAGCCAAAAGTATTTACTGTCTGTCCCTTTACAGATAAAGGCTGCCAACCCTTGGTCTAGATTAGTAATGCCACTGTGGAAAAGAGGTGTCTTGCATGCAGGCAATATTTTTCAGAATGCATTATAGTACTCGTTCTCATATGCAGCTGCATGTTGTAATTATCTGGAAAGTTTTAGAAAGTTCTAATGCCTGGACCCACCCCCAGGGATTCTGATGTAATTAGTATAGAGGAGGCCCTGGACACCAGGATGTTTAAAAACTACCCAGGTGGTTCCCGTGTGTAGCCAACTTTGAGAACCATTGCCTTATGTTGCTACACGCTCCCATATGGGAAGATAGTTTCTCTCCACAGGCTGGATCTGCCCCCAAGTAGCATCGCAAGTATCATTCTTGCCTGCAAGTTCCAGTGACATAATGCTTGAGGCAGGCTGTCCCCAAACTTAGTGGCAAGAGGACAGACTTGAGAATAGCAGCCCATCTCCAAACCTTAAGTTTCTTTAAACTTCCTCAGGAATGTGGCAAGAAATGAGACTACCACTGTAAAATGCATTGATTCTCCAGACTTAAATGAATGTAAAACCCAAGGGCTTTTATTGTCTATGGTTTCAGTGCTTTCCTTGGCTCTCTGGTGACTATTTTTATCACTGAACAATGAAAATCTATTGGCAATGTTCCTGGTAGTTATCTTCCATTCAAATGTCATGGAAGATGATCCGAAGTTCTGGAAGTATGGCTGTGGTTGATTTCTTTTTCTACATGGTTTAGGAACTAAGGATTATTTCAGTAATAATCCTATTTCTGAAAACCTGCCACATCATGTTACTTTGCAGCTCTGTGCGTGGCTGTCATTGTAAACACTGTTTATAGAACCTTTATCAGCATTTGCCTCTGGAATTTATAAAGCATTTAGTATAATTTGCTGTGGAACCACTGGTGTTTTTCTAGCTTAATAAAGTCAGCACATATGGAGTATTTGGAAGATAGCAGTTTACATCCTATAAAATGACTTTTGAGTCTAAAGCACTTTTATCTCAGCCATTTAAAATGATTGATTACTTAATTCACACTGCCAGGTACTGTTCTTCTCATTTTACAAATGAGGGAAATGAGGCAAAAAGAGGACAGGGGACTTCTTCAAGGCCACGCAGCAAGGTAAGGGCAATTGAAAACTGGAACTCCCCAGGCTGAGCTCTCCTATCTAATATTTCCCTCTGGTGCAGGAGAGTAAAAACGCGAGTCTCTAAACCCCGGCGGTCTACATCCTGAATGCAAAGCACCCCCAGCAGATGCTTGTAGTAAAACACATGACCGAATCGCTGCTCCTTGCTTGAGGAAAACTTCTGCAAACTTTATTATTATATTTTGCTTGAAATCGTGTAAACACAAATAGATCCATTGAGAAACAGACATTTTGCTTTTTAAAATTAAACTGGGACTCCAGGTAGGTAGCATCATCCATAGAACAGTTAGGAATTCATTTCACCAGTGTTCTAAAGGGGCAGGTGATAATCCGCATATGCTTTCTTAATGCCATGGTTTAGCATGTGGTTATGTTGTTTATTTAATTCAGAAGGCTTTTAAAAGCGATACTGTAAAATGTGACCAGCCAGAAGACAAGGAAAACAGAAATGTTCCCAACTTAATAAACTGTACCTGGAAAGAATAACTAAAACTTTGAAAAAAATCCTTGTTAGGAGTTTATTAAAATTTTTAATTTGCAGCCTAAGTACCAACAGAGAACTTCGGTACAAAGTAATCAGATTTAATATTCATGACAGTGACCCCGAGGCAAAGGTAGATTCAGTTATCAAACAAGATTCACTTTTCTCTGTATACTTTCTAAGGCAGCAGAATACATTTTTTAAATTTAGAAACTATTCCATAATCATGGCTAAGCTAGATCTACTCATCAAAAATGTCAGCTAATTGAGTTTATTGTTTTGACACTTTAAATATAAGGAGACTTGGCTTGAGATAACAAATGTATCCAGCAATGTATGTCCTGGAGAACAAATTTTTGTAAAAGTATACCTTTTGCTCACTTATTAGATGGCTAGGAGTTTTCATAGCAGAGTCATACCTGATAAAGAAGTGAATTGTCTCATTTATAAATTATAAACCTAGTGAGTAGAAGTATACAGATGGTCCCCAACTTATGATATTTTGACTTAGGACTTTTTGACTTTACTGTGGTGGGAAAGTGATGTGCATTCAATTACCCACACAATCATTTTATTTTTACTTTCAGTACAATATTCCATAAATTACATGATATATTCAACACCTTACAATAAAATAAGCTTTATGTTAGATGATGTTGCCTAACTGTAGGCTAATGTAAGTGTTGTGAGCACATTTAAAGTAGGCTAAGCTAAGCTATGATGTTCAGTAGGTTAGATGTACTGAAGGCATTTTTGACTTAAGATATTTACAACTTACAATGCATTTATTGGGATCTAACCTCATTGTAAGTCTAAGAGTGTCTGCACATTTATGTTAATTAAGATTTTATCATTACCTGATCTCTGTCCTCATGAGGCTTACAAGTTGGGGGAGTTTAGTGACAAGCAGGAACCGACTAAGTAAATCCAGGTGTGGTTAATGCTATAAAGAAGCATCAGACAGACCCTAAGAAGCAGCATATCTGCTAGGCTCACTCTTCACACTTGTATAAATTCAATCAGTGAGAAAACTGTGAACCCAGATGGATTGACACCATCTGTTACTCAAGGCACAGCATGTTCACATCAGTTCCTTTTGCCCCCTAAGTTCCACAGGGCGATGTGGATGGGGGCCTGGGTAGATGCCGTGCACATAGTGGGTTTGTGTCAGAGCTGAGAAACACTGAGCTTAGGAAACTCCCAGTTGTATATGGGGTCTGCTAGCAAACTTGCCCATCTTCCCCTCCAGAGAGAGATCTCTTTATTAACTTGGAATATAAGCAGATCTTCTCTGGGGATTGGAGGGAGAATGTAAAGGGAGGAATCTCCGCCTTCTCTATCCTGGTCAGGAAACAAATCTGTGACCCAGGACTATACTATCTCTAGCTTCCAAGGCCATTTGCTATTCAAACATCCTTGTTCAAAGCTATCAGTGCTCTTGACTCAGAAATCATGCACAAACATCTAAATTATCTCCCAATAAGGAAGTAAGTGATGTGATACAAGGTAATTGAAGGATGTCAGGGGAATGAGAAGCTGACCCCAGAGTGGATAGATGGAGAGGGGCAACTGGTCCTAAGAAGAACTGGGAAAGGGTGTTTCCAGAGGCAACAACATGAGGTGGATGATGTGCTTGGTGTGTTCAAGGGATGTTAAGAAGAGCAGTATGGCAGGAGCTGCACAGGTGAGCAGAAAGGTAGCTGGGGCAAATTTGGGAGGGTACAGGAGCCAGATCATTCAGGGCCATGTAGGTCATAGTTTGAGTTGGGAGTTCATCAGAAGAGTGATGGGAAACCTGTGTGGCTCTGTAAGGCATAAGTGACCTGTATTTTCAACTTACAGCTTCAAACCATGTAGTGGGTAAGTCAATCAATTTTGCTGGTCATACGTAGCATTTCATTTTTAAATAATGAGATAGAATAGGACAGAAGATATCAGTACCTTTTATGTAGTGGAATGCCTTATATAAATATTGTTTCATGAAACTTTCATTTATCATATTTCATTAATATTAACTTTTATTAATTAACAGTAGTTATATATTATATTATTAGAATAATTGATGTTAATTAATATTGGCATTTTCCCCATGTTGACATCTCCTCTAAAGTCAAGATGGGTCTCACAAGCAATAGTATCTAAAGTTTGATGAACTATGCTATGAATGTTTTATATATGTGCATGTGTGAAGTGTATTGCTATGTGATATTTATTTCTGAGTATGGGTCACAGTCACTATTTTACCTTCAAAGGCTTATTTATGGTAGCAAGGTTGGGGCAGCCTGGGGAAATTGGAATACCACCTAGAATTGGATGCCTCCATTCTGGGTGGGGAAATTGAGAGAAGATATAAGTATCCTTGGGCTCTGGAAGCAAATAGAGTTGTTTCACTGGCCAACTATATCAGACAAGTGTGATCAAGCCACCAGAGTCAGGCATTGACAATCAGATGTAATAGGACTGTAAGAATTCCCTGTGAACAGAGGGAATCCAGGATCTGACAAGGCTTTGGGGCTCTTCATAGCAGCATGCCTGATCGGTTAAACCAGCAGGAGTGAAACCTCAGCCTTTAGTGGCATATGGTGCCAGGATGGTTACTAAGAGGAAGTCTTTGGTATAAAGAACCAGGCTCAAGTCCCCTCACAAAGGATGGAACAGCCAGGCTGTGGCACTAGGGAGCCAGCCTCAGGATGAAGAAACTGCTCTTTACTGGGGTCACCTCCTTAACCACTTCTCAACCAGGCCCAACATTTTGTTTGCTTACTGCTTCCTCTTTTTGTTGAACTCTTAGTTACCTCTATAGAGGATTCATTTTTTAAAGATATGCTCAGGGAGAGAGCCCACCTGACTCTGCTTTGGGTGTCTAAGGTGAGGGGACTGGGTCTCTGGGACTAAATGGAAGTCAAGCCAAGGCCTTTCTAGCAAAGAGGGCAACTGGAATCCCTGAGTGTTGGGTTGGGTTTACATGAATCCTATGTGTATGAATCTGAGTATAATCCCTCTTAGAGCGGGGATGAGCCTTTGGGTTAGAGCAGGATCAGTTGCCATAAGAGGAGGATACTGTGTTTGAATCCTGGTGTAGCTTACACCATCTCACCTCTTGAGAGGATGAAATGACGCATGCGTGTATAAACCACCATGAGTAGGCTGTGTCAACAAATATAAGGAAGACTTAAGAATCTGTGCGCCATGGCTTTGAAATAAAGCACTGTACTTCTTTCCCTCTCCCAGGTCTCTCTGGTGAAACCCTATCTTCTTTACTCCATTGTAGACAGAAAGAGGTAACAAACACCTATCTTTTAAGTATTGAGCCTAGGCTGCAACTCCAGTCTAGCTAACTTCATCTTTTTAGCTTGATAATGATGTGTAGTTCAAGTTATGTAACCTTTTTCCAAGGAACTTAATTTAGTCATAACATCATTTGCCAACATGCACTCTAAAATATGCTCTTATTGTCAGTAGATTACGACTAAAATTAATCAAATCACTGAAGGCTGCCCATTACCAGTAAATTATCATGTAATAATTAGTTCTTTACCTAATTCTTCGTTCAAACCATAGCTTCTGCCCTTCTTTGTGGGCTTTACAATATCAAAAGGCATTTCTTGAGCTTGACGAATTGACACATTTGACTTGTTTATTAATTGTTTTCAAGGATAACTTAAAATTTTTTTTTTTAGTTATTATTATTATACTTTAAGTTCTAGGGTACATGTGCATAACGTGCAGGTTTGTTACATATGCATACTTGTGCCATGTTGGTGTGCTGTACCCATCAACTCGTCAGCACCCATCAACTCGTCATTTACATCAGGTATAACTCCCAATGCAATCCCTCCCCCATCCCCCCTCACCATGATAGGTCCCGGTGTGTGATGTTCCCCTTCCCGAGTCCAAGTGATCTCATTGTTCAGTTCCCACCTATGAGTGAGAACATGCGGTGTTTGGTTTTCTGTTCTTGTGATAGTTTGCTAAGAATGATGGTTTCCAGCTGCATCCATGTCCCTACAAAGGACACAAACTCATCCTTTTTTATGGCTGCATAGTATTCCATGGTGTATATGTGCCACATGTTCTTAATCCAGTCTGTCACTGATGGACATTTGGGTTGATTCCAAGTCTTTGCTATTGTGTATAGTGCCGCAATAAACATACGTGTGCATGTGTTTTTATAGCAGCATGATTTATAATCCTTTGAACCTACAAAGAACTCAAACAAATTTACAAGAAAAAAACAAACAACCCCATCAAAAAGTGGGCAAAGGATATGAACAGACATTTCTCAAAAGAAGACATTCATACAGCCAACAGACACATGAAAAAATGCTCATCATCACTGGCCATCAGAGAAATGCAAATCAAAACCACAATGAGATACCATCTCACACCAGTTAGAATGGCAATCATTAAAAAGTCAGGAAACAACAGGTGCTGGAGAGGATGTGGAGAAATAGGAACACTTTTACACTGTTGGTGGGATTGTAAACTAGTTCAACCATTATGGAAAACAGTATGGCGATTCCTCAAGGATCTAGAACTAGATGTACCATATGACCCAGCCATCCCATTACTGGGTATATAACTTAAAATTTTTAACATTATTTTAATACATTATGGACAGTTTCTGCCAGTTAACTAAAATGCAATTTGAAAATAAACATACTACAGAGAATTTTTTCTGATTTTCTTGTTATTTTGTCTTATCTATAACAAATTTCATGTCTTATGTTCTCAAATATCAAGCGCCTAGATTCTTTCACTTAGATTTTAATTGATATGAAACTAGATTCATAAATATATATGTTGATGCATCCAAATGAATTACCTTTTCTTTAGTCAATATATTTAGGAAGTTATTGCTGTTACTAATATATTTTCTAATTAAGTAAGATAATGGGTGTGGATTTTTAAAAATGTATAATAGACTTCTGAGCAAAAGCTGGTATTTCATGGTCTTTTAATATCTGTGTGACAAGAAAAGTTCTACCAATTCAATAAAATTCTGTGAGGACAAAAAACAATTTTGTTTGATGCTTTGTCAAAGCTATAAACTCTTAATGTAATCTCCATTGGGTTTATTTTTATTTCTATCATGTTTCCCTCACCCAAAATACAAATTAAAATGTGCCAAAGAGGAAAGTATTTTAAATGAATCCAACCTGTTTTCTTTTATCTATTCTTGAAAAATATTATTTGTTGTACAATAATATATAAAACTTTCCTATACTATGTTTAATTTTTTTGTATTAGACTCATATGTAATATATCTTTTAAAAAATAATTTTGAATGAATGCTGAAAACATAGAATCTAAATTTTCAAACTCTTTGGGATTGGAATGTATCTAAGCTGAATAACTCAATTTCACTTTCAGGCAGTTGTAACATTGAAGGGAATGCTGACAAGCCTGTGGCACAGAAAGCCAAAAATAATTTGTCATCTGGCCTTTCACAGAAAATGTAATCCAACTGCATTATTCAAATTATTTGGGTAATTGTTGTATTCATGGAAAGTAGTCCTTAAGATTGAAAGTTTGGCATTACTGCACTGGAATTGGGCACTTGAAATTATTGTATTTTAAGGATATACTGTCTCTGTCACAATGACTGAACTCTGCCTTATAGCATAAAAGCAGCCATGGACAATATGGAAACAAATGAGTGTGACTGTGTGCCAATAAAACTTTATTTATAAAAACAGGATCAGGCTGGATTTGGCTCACCAGTAATTTGCCAACCCCTTCAAACCTTTGTTATTCAAAGAATAATCTATGTGCTGGGAATAACAGCATTCCCTGAAGCTCTAAAATGCAGACTCTCAGGCCCCACCTCAGACCTACTGAAGTAGAATCTACATTTTAACAAGGTTCCCAGGAGATTCATATGAGCCTTAAAGTTAAAAGATTATTGCCCTAAACTACTCTTCAAAGTGAAGTAACAGGTTACTCCTGGGAGGATCTGTGAAATGAATAAGTATGTTGACTGCGGCTTAAGACTAGGTTTAGCAGGTGAAGAGCACGCTGTTTCACCGTGGACTTCTAAATGCGAGAATATGGAGAACTTTATCTGGCCCACCAATAATTTTCCCTTCCTACTGTAGGTCTTCTCAGATGATCTGTTCCATTTCTTTAGAGGAGAATGTCCTAATTTCTTGCCCTGGAAATTACTGACTGTGGGCACTTCTGCATGAGGGAATGGGTCGGATAAGTTATTTAATACACAGGTGTGTAAGTATTCCTTCTATTTTTTATGCATGCAAATGCTACTCAATTTTGTATTTGGCATTTTTAAGTCTCAAGCTTGTAGACATTCTTCAAATTAGACCAACTACCCCATCTATTGTAGATCCCTCTGGTGATATTTGAGCTTCCTGGACTGTGCGGAGAGACTCAATGATGGGCCACTGAGGAGTTGGACCACAACAGAGTTTCTTGGCCTTAGCATTATTGGCATTTGGGGCCAGATAATTCTGGTGTTGTTAGGTGCAGTCCTGTGCATTGTAAGGTATGTAACAGGATTTCTGGCTTCTCATTCGATGCCAATAGAATCCCCCACCCCCAGTTATGATGACCACACATGTCTCCACATATTGCCAAATGTACACAGGGGGACAAAATTGCCCCTGGCTGAGAGCCACCAAGTCCTAGAGGTGCTGAGAAATCAGTGCCTCTCAGGTGTTGTCAGGGCAGCTACAGGCCCAGGACATGGGCGACCAGCCTCAAGCATTCCCTCTGTTCTTTCAGTGAGGCATAATAATACTAATTTTTGCTGGATGCAGTGGCTCACACCTTTAATCTCAGTGCTTTGGGAGGCCAAGGTTTTCTTGAGCCCAGGAGTTTGAGATCAGCCTGGGCAACATAGTGAGACCTCATCTCTACAACAAATTAAAAATTAGCCAGGTTTGGTAGTGTGCGCCTGTAGTAGCTACTCAGGAGGCTGAGGCGGGAGGATCCCTTGAGCCCAGGAGTTTGAGGCTACAGTGAATTACGATCGTACCACTGCACTCTAGCCTGAAAGACAGAGTGAGACCCTGCATCAAAAAAAGTTAATTTCTATGTGAGTCACGAAATGAGAAATTTAGGAAACAAAGTCAAAGTCACAGCTTCTCCAGGACCTGCAGCTCCATCAGCTTTTCATCATCCCATTACTCCCTTTCTGAGCTGCTGACACATCCTCTTTCTGTTCTCTCTGTCCGTATCAGTTCTGATTCCATTTTCTTCTTTATTGTCATTTAAAATAATATCTCATGGGAGAAAAAAATGAATATGTATTGTCTGTCTGGCATTTTGAACTGAAATCTTCACCATAATGTCCTCTAAAGTAAAATGCTAGAGATTGGGAAACAAATTGAATTTTATAGTTTAGAAATCTTTCACATTAGAATTGTGTTATTGCCTAGTTTTAATTGTTTGGTACATGTAACATTTTAGAAAATTATTACCAAGGGACTTAATTTCTGTAGCTGATCCTATAACTGGCTCATCCCAAGTCAGAGTTGGTAATATGACTGTTCTTTGTGAGGAAAAGAGCTGGCGTTTGCTGAGTTTGTTTGAGTAATGATGGCCCTCAAAAATCTTTCCAATCTGATCAAACCTAATTCATTTCCTTTTGTAAAAAGAATCACTTTATATTATACAGCGATTAAAATATTAATTTTTCAAATATTGAACTTTATTTTCCATTTGGTTATTTACTGAATTTGTGGTATGCAAATTTGTAGTTTATTCAATTGACTATAATCACAGTTGCCAAAGGGAGTAAGTCTGGGTCAGTCAGGGAATTGGCTCTGTAATCTACCTCCTGAGATGAAAGTACTGCATAGCAGATCTGATATACAGTTTCATTCAGATAGTTCATCATTTTTCAAAGAGAAAAAAAAGATTACATCTAGCTCAGTGCTCCTGCTAGTACACACTGTGCCTTTGTGAGGATTATAGATTATTTACAAAAGTGGCCCCATTTCTTCATCTTTGGCTTTGTCCATGTTTCTTGCACTGTGACTTTTTGGCTCCTCCTTTCAATAGTTGGAGTCTACTTCTCTTCCCCTTGAATCTGGGGTAGCCATTTGCCTTGCTTTGGCCAGTGGAATGCAGGAACATTGATGATGTGCCTGCTCTAAGCCTAGTCCTTAAGAGGCCCTGCATACTTCTGTTGTCTTTGTCTTGGAATATTGTGCAGCCCTCATGAGATTAAGCCAGGGCTAGATTGCTGAGATTAAGCCAGGGCTAGATTGCTGGAAGATGACAGATGACAGATCACATGGGACAGAGAAGCCATCCCAGCTGAGGCCACACTAGACCACCAAGTCCTAGCTAACCAAGCATTTGACTGCAGTTGTGTGAGTGAGCTCAGCTGAGACTAGAAGAACTGCCCAGCTGAGCCCTGTCCAATTGCCAACCTGCAGAGTTGTGAGCTTAGTAAAGACAGATAATTGTTGATGTTTTAAGCCACTAAATTTGTCATATGACAAAAGGTAACTAAAACAGTGAGAATTGGAAAAAGGCACTGCTTTGGGTGGATGAATTATATAATGGCACCTCTTATTCTGATGCAGACTTTTCTAGAGTACACATTGTTACTGTCTCCCTCAGGTATCCTAATGGGCTACAGAATTCACAATCAGAAACAATAGCCATGAAATCTAGAGTCAGGTTGCTGCCCTCCACCCTAGGCACAGCGATTTAGAAGCTGTGTGATCTTCGGGAGGGAACTTCACCCCTGAAAGACAGTATAGGGCTTATACAGTTCAAGTATTAGAAAGGACTCACTAGATACCACAGAGTGTACTGTAGGTGCCAAGGGAGAGCTTTCCATTTTGTCCTCTGAAGGTTTGCTGAAAAATCAACTTGCAAAAGGCAGATTAATTGGAGAAAAGCCTTACTAATTTACTCAATGTGTACACATGGAAGCCTTCAGAACAAAGACCCAAAGATACTGAGGAAATTGTCCATTTTTATGCTTAGGTTCAACAAAGGATGGACAGGAATGTAGAAACATGGTTGGACAAATAGAGTTTGATCTAGTGCTAATAGACTGAGTGGGTAAATCCAGGAAGGCCTTTCTGTCTAGATTCTTCTTGGCATCTCTAAGTAGCCTTCCTTCCTTCTGGGTATGGGGCAGAACCCTCTCTGGAATGGGGGGTCTTAGGACCTACAGTCAAACAAGGTAGGTCAGAGAGTTTCTCTATGGCCGGTTTCTACACAAAACAAAGCAGAGGAAAAGTTATAATAGTATTTTCAGGTTTTATGGCTGGCTTTGTGGCAAAGGGATTCTGGTTTGTATGACATGCCTTGGGGAAGAGGGATGCTAGTTTGTATGACTAGCCTCAGGGTAAAATGGGACTGAGAGACAAGAGGGCAGCAGAAGGTCAGAGAAAAACCTTTTCTTCTGAGGCCCTCAGTTTGGGGTATTGCTTTCTGAGCCCCCAACAATACACATGTGAAGCTTTTGTTTAAAGAGAAAAAGGATATGGTGCAGTAAGATAAAGTAAATGTGGGCAACATCAGGAGTCAGAGAGACATTCCAACAACCCAGAGCCCTTTCTTCCTTTCAGCACATAGGGCCAGGCTGAGTCATTGGCTTGAACATCAGGATCTGTGTGCCCAATCTTGGCTTGGGGAGAGTTCAGAGAAGCTTTCAATGCAAGGGTGCTCCTGAATCTCTTTGGTCATAAACAAGCTAGGCAAACCAGTTAAGGCAGTTGCAAACCTGCAGTAAAGTAACTTATTAGGTGGGTTGTCAGGACAGTTTCTAACCAGAAAAAAAAAAAAAAAAAAAAAAAAAAACCACAAAACAAAACAAAAAAAACTTAAATCTCGCTGCCCCTATCTTGACCAAGAGTCTAAAAGCAGACCTCTGGCACTTTCAGAGATAAAGAAAGCTTTTTCCACCCCAGCTGTGATTCAGTTGTATCTACACAGCCTCATTTTCCTTATTTGTAAAGTGAGGATAATTATACACCTTTTTACAGGATTTTATGGGGTTTATATGAGGTGATTCATGCAGAATACTTACCACAAGTACCTGGAACTTAGTAAATACTCAAAAAATCTTCTGCTACTAATTAAATAAAGAGTACTCAACAAGGAGTCAGCAACCAGCTTTGAACCATGTGACTTTGGACACAGCACTTCAGCTATCTGGGCCTCAGTTTTCTCATATTAAATTAGGGAAGCAATGATTAGGTTACCCTATCCTGTGATAATGTCATGCTCATCTTTAATGCCCCAAGAGCCAAGTAAGAGCACCCTTTTATAGTTAGTTCATGCAAGTTAGCATCTAGTAGGTGAAAATACTAGTAAAAATTACTTTTCTTTATTCCTAATTCCAGGAGGGTAGTGTATAAATTCTGTGGACAATCTAGTAAGCAATTTTCCAAAGTAGGTTGCCTGAAGGCTCTAGGTTTATAAAAAGCCATCAAGAAGAGGTTTGAGAAACTTTGGCATTGAAAGTCTGGGCATTACAGAGAATAATTCTTTTAGTACCACTTTGGTGGTGGGAACGCACTGGATTCATGAACCATTGGTAGCCATGGAGTTTTCCCTAGTGGTTGGTGTACTGCTAGAGACCTTAGGTTGGGATTTCACTTGCTAGACACCCAAGGAAGGAGTGAGTGAGAAACTTGGTTTGCCACAGTGCCCTTCTTAACTGATGCTTGGTTTCACCTCTGAAACAATCTTGACACCCTCGTGATGCTCCCTGATGCCCTAATCCCCCTTATTCTGCCCAAGGTATACCCTCTTGCTACCTGTATTCACCCTCTGTGCATTAACACTTGCTAGGGCTAGACACTGAGTGAAAGTGTAGCTATTCCCTACAGAAGGAGCTCATGGCTAGGAGCAGAACTAATGATTTACAGCAGGGATTAGCAAATGTTTTTTGTAAAGGGCCAGATAGTAACTATTTTAGACTTTACGAGCCATACAGTTTCTATTCCAGCTACTCAACTCTGCCATTGGTTATAGCACCATAGCAGCCATAGACCACATGTCAATTAATGGGCATGTCTGCATTCCAGTAGAATTTTATTTAGAAAGTGGGGGCAGCTGGTTTTGGCCCTCAAGCTACAGTTTGCTGACTCTTGGTTTGGCAGAAATAAAATACATGTATTGTTAAGGGCTGTGCAACAGAGTGTTTTCAGGATTTCAGGTTTTTTTTTTTTTTAACATGGAAGGAAAGTCTTGTCCATTTTGAAAATGATATAACATTATAAAGTCATTAAGGGTAATCCTCAGAGTGGCATCGTGTAGACATATTTCAGAAAATAACAATAGTAGTCCAGTGAATAACTCCTCCTACTGAAGATTATATTTGTTCTAGGTGGAAAGCTGGTAAGCTTCTCAAAATGAGAATGTTGGTAACAAATAAAAGTTCACATCTGAATTAGATCTCTGACACAGAGAACAAAAGGCATTTTCAAACTTGAATGCCTATAGAAGCCCCCTCAAGTGCAAGGCTATTTGAGTTAGAAGCAACAATGAAACTCATCTCACTTAGTTATATGA